GCAGTAATTTGCTGTATTTTATTCTAAGTAGAGCGTAAAATTGTATATTATAGCTCGGACGAATTATCAATGAAGAAGTCATCCTTTTTAAGAAAGTTCGCATAGAAAGACTATTATTTGCATTATAGTGCGTTGAGGGTTTGTTTTTTTGCGAGTTGTTTCAGATCGTAAGGTTGTAAATATACTGCAGTCAATGGCTGTTGTCATTCCAGTGAATCTATTAGAATCTGGCCTATGAAAGAGAAATAGCATGCAGACATAGGTTAGATGTGTGCTTTGAACATGTTAAACTTTTCTGTTATCATCCGGGATGACTGAAATACTCATAACACATCGACGACACTATGCGATGAATGAGGTAGGCTGCTGAATTTCCTGGTGATTATATCTATTTAGATGAAGTTCCTAGTTAAAAGTGCTTTGGCGAAGATGTGATAATAGTTTAATTGACATTTGCACATGGAATTTCACAAGGCCTTAATTGCTCAGTGCATGAAATGGCATCAGAGTATATTGACATCATTGTTCACCGTGTCTCGAAGAATAGTATAAATAGTCCTTCTCAAATGTCAGAGTACTTAAAATTAGTACCAGATTTCTGTCGATTAGTAGCTAGCAGCTGTGTCATACAACTACTACACCTGTTACATAGGTTATATCAATCTTAATAATTATTTTGCTTCACATCACTAAGATATTCTGAGATCCTTAATGACTTAATTGTGGCTATGAAAGATGTAGAAGATGTACTTATGGCTCATACATTTAAAGCAGTTATTATCAAACAAGTTATCTGTAAGCAACTTTTGATGTTCTGAATACTGCAAACTGTTGATAAGAAACTGCATCAAAGGAAAAAATGCTGAACAGCTAGAAAATACTACTGCAGTTTCGTTGGTTGTTACCTTTTGCATTTGTAACTCATCCTTCCAAAGCTGCGATCGACGCCAAACCGTCCATGGTACCCCACAGGCCCTATAGAAATTTGTGAGAGATCTTACATGTCAGGTTGTCTTCCAAATTGTAAGGTTGCAGATCTTTCAATTTACCTCTCACTGAAATATCACTTATCTACATCACTATGGTCTTTTCATTTGTGCACTATTACAACGCATTTTATGTTAACTGGATATGCCTTTATTAAGGCTGAGACTTACTCTTTTTGCCTATTAGTTGCTTGCTTACAGTCTATTTGTTTTTATTAGAAACACAACAACACCAGTGTTTGAACAAAGCTGTACTTTCATGGAAAACGTCATATTTTCTATGCTTACACCAGTATGGTTGGCAATAAACATTGCAAATGTATACTCACATTCCAAGGACATAGCACTTAGCCAAATGTACGGTGCTCATTGTTAAGGGTTTACAATTTAACTCTTATAATTTATGATACTTCACGATTGCAGTTTATAACATAACTTATTGCGCCTGTAGAAATGACATGCATTCTTTGTAAACATTGGTTTAAACGAAATTTGAAATTATTATTATATGCTTGCTGCTATCCTTTAGAAGACGAATAATGTGTGTGGCAGTGAAAACCACAGAAGAATGCTGTCATGAACAAAGAATGAGAAAGGAGAATGAACCATTTTCAGCAAAGGTAGGCAAATATAAAGCGTTTAACTTTGATATTACTTCTTTCTTACTTCAGCGATTTAAAAAACACTCTGTTTACTTATTTGTAGATATGCGGTAACGTCAGTCAACCCGGTCACAGAGATTCGACATTGCCCAAATTATTACGACAAACGACTGCGTAAAGACATTTGCTTGTTATTATTTTTCATTAAATACATTTAATATCCTGCTTACCAGACCTTTCTTATTATATCTGAGTGTAGATATATTTGTCATGATGACTAGGTGCAGACATGACTTATTAATAAGAACTGACGAAGTAATTGGTGGCATATTTTAGTGTAAGCTAAATCTAAATACGATTGCTAAAGCTCAACGAATTCAATAATTCGTCTGGTGTAGACTTTAATTTACGCTACATGTCAACAGCCTTAGTCATATGGATTGACATCACGCTTTAAGTGAAACATTAGTAATGCAATACTTTCGAATACACGTAACCGTATAAGAACTGGAACTCGAATGCAGTGCCTAAGTTATGCCTACTATTGTCCCTAAAGACTTGTATATGACTATGATACGTATGCACGTTAGCTAACTAAAATACTTATAATTTAACACGTATGCTGACCGACATCGTTCCTACACAATTACACTTACGTATTGTTAGTAGTGAAAGTCCTAGAGAGCACCGGTCTAGCATGCCGTGCTCACAAAGTGAACACATGAATTGAAAGACAACAAAATTTACATGAAAATTTTATTTTCATTATGATACAAATTTAGTTTATTTACATATTAAGAACACGATTGATTCCTGCGATTACTCCGTCTGCATAAGTATTGGCAAACACTTCTCCAAATTTGTCATTAATTCTGCTCATACCCGCAATGATAATCCTCTTTTTGGTATCGTATATGTCACTTCGATTTCGAGGGATAACTGCTGACGTACTTTGAGATGCGAACAAGTTGCGTGACCACGTCCATTGTTTACAATTATGCATCACATGGTTAACTACAAAAGGTGGAACAAAAAACGTTAAGATAACTATGAACTGATTATTACATTTACATTTTTTTTTTTTTTTTTTTTTTTTTTTTTTTTTTTTTTTTTTTTTTTTTTTTTTTTTTTTTTTTTTTTTTTTTTTTTTTTTTTTTTTTTTTTTTTTTTTTTTTTTTTTTTTTATACATTAAAAACAGGGTCATAAAAACGCAAATATACCTGTGAAATATGGCTTTCTGAAATGGACCAAAAGCAAGTGTCTGCAGGGGTACCGACAGGTCTGAAATGTAACGCACGTGCAGGTGCAAGCACTCAGATCCACCCCCACTCGATTCCCGTTGTCTTGGAAGAATACATAATCGAAGGATTCAACCTCAACAACAGCCCATCTTCGCCTTTCGTATTCACGGATAACCTTCCTCGCAGCGTATGGCGTCAGCAATCGTATAATTGGGAGTAGACGTGGTGAACAGGGATAGGTGAAGCATCGCGACTGAGCAATAGTCGCCTCCTGCTGTATCCTTGCAAAACTTTGTTGATACCATTTAAACACCTTCAGCATACTTTTATGCAAACTATCTGATCTTTGTAAGTAACGTTTCATTTGCTTGTGGGAACTCTCGACGCGATTATTTGTATCGTTCCCAAAAGTCAGCACGTTGTCTCTGAAACATGCTGCCCACAATTCTCGTCGATGCATCCAACGACGTTGTAGATATTGACTGACAGTAGCATCCAATCTGCTAATAACTCTGAAGTAGAAATTAAATCTGGAAAATGAGAACATTAGAGGCATTACTCTGATCTCCTTTTACACTGCACTAGACGGCATAAATAGTTCTTCACAATGGGATTTCTTGTCTACGAATAAAATGTAAAGTATGCTTTGAAAAACTTACTTTCCGACAGAATGCTCGGCAAACATGGAAAGAACACAAAACAATGTGCGCTTGTCTGTGCGTTAACTTGACGGCTGCTATTTCAGCTTGCGCACAATCCATAATGAAAGATTCTGTTTTGGAGGTGTCTTCCATTATTTGGCGGAAACAGTCTAATATCCAAACTACATCTCGTTTGAATTCTTTTCTAGTCCACGCAAATAAAACTGGTCGTCCACGACCAAAATTATCCGTCACAAGTAACTGGAACAAAGAATACCTGCACGTTGACTAATGAATTGGTAAACTTACTTCCCCTTATTCGTATTATACGTCGAGTCGATACCAACAACTTCAGGGAACTGTTTATACAATTCCATTTGCTCATAAGTTGCAAAACAAATTCTTGTTAGTGAATTCCTGATCGGTTCATCGGAATAATACTCCATTAACTTCCCACGGGATTTTAGGAATTCAAAAATGTCACGACGACTCGAAATACCTTAAGTATGTAACAAGTACGTCAACGTTACCTTTATTCACTGCGGCTTTCATATTTTTAACGTCAATGCGAGTTATATCCTTGTGGTACTTCTCCTTAACATGCATTATTATTTCATCGGATGAGTGGGATTGCTGAAGAAGTGGTTCAATATTTTCTTTCTCTTCAACTGTTAGTCGTCTATACCATGGGTCATTCTGCATGTACACCCTGCTGCATGGATGGTTATGCACCATATTGTGGGAAGCAATTATGTATTCACTATAACGCAAAACCACGCGAAATGAAGACGAGCAATTGCAACATTTAGACCTGAAATATTCATGAAATCATATTACACTTCTTCTTACGACTTGTTTTTCAATTTCAATCCAGGTCTTGTACGATTCACTCCAAAAGTGCATTTAAAACCAACATAAGCGTACTTAAACCTGTCATCCGGTATCGTTTTGCTGCAATTATGAACATAGTGAGTGCAGGATAACTACACTGTTAGCATTAAATGACTTCCTCACTTTTTGAAATTCTGCTAATGACTTCTCAAATTCATCCCAGCTGAAGAAACGCCTTCCAAGTATGTATTCAGCAAAAATTCCACTTAAATCTGTGCTCCTGTCACTCGAATTGACTACCTGCAACGGACTAAAATAAAATTATCAATTAGGATCCATCTATGTCACAACTATTCCAAGATAAATCGTAAACAAACAACATTGAAATACAGGGATGATCGATAACCATCAAGAAAATACCGCACGTATAACCTAAATTACAGAAAAACACAAGAACCCACCGGTTCGTTGACATCGCAAGCAACCAATAGACCAAACAACGAATTGTACGACAAATAAAGCCTAGTACATGCACAAACAAAGAAAAACAAAGCGTTACAATAGTCTAATACACGTTTATAGTAATCACATATGCTGGCAAACGACGCAAACACAACCACGCAAAGACAGCACCCGACAGCACGCACCCAAGGACAATTCAAACTCCAATTGACCGCCACCATTCTAGCCAATGAAAGACGAAAAATACTGAGTCGCGGAAAATATAACACGAACCCACATATATCCTCACCCAATCAAATGACTTAGTGATGGTTTTTTAATTTGTTATATTACAATGGTAACATTAATTTTTGCGAAAACCTACATGAAAAATGAAACCCAAAAATAGATGTTACTTCGAGGTACTTGAAGGCCAATTCTGAAGGACGACAATATATCCACAAATCAAAATTGACAAGACCCTGCCTATTTTACGTTTGTGACGTTTATTCATTTTATCTAAAAAAGTTTGATCGTGACTTTATGCAGAAAAGCTGAACTCAATTTATACATAACAATATACATATTTGGAGTTGCTAACACTGAATTCTATTCTGTGCAAAACATTTCAAGTGTGATAAAATGGCAAATAAAACCCCATGTAGCATATCACTTGACTTGTTAGTTGACAAGAAGGAGTTGCAATCTCGTCTTAAAAACTCAATGTAAGTCCTTCAGTACCGGGATTATATGAGTGTATTTGTCTGGTTAATTAACCGTTTATTTAATTTTAATAAGATTGGAATTTAGACAGCTTTTGTGTACTTGTCGACTAGCATTAGGCTTTGTTTTTCGAAATCCTATAGTGGATTAGCTGAAATATTTATTTATTTTATCTCTTGCAGTAGTCTTTCATTTAAAAGTTTCCAGAAAACCTTGGGTGTCCAAATAGCAGAAGAATGATTGGATTCCTCATCAGTAGTACTATGTCTGTTATGCCCTTAAGGGATGCTAAAATTTAGAAGTAAAATATTCTGTGTGTAATTGTTATCCGTACTGTCATCACGCTAGTTAGTTCAAAGCAACTTTATCCCAAATTAGAAAATGTTCTCAAAAGGCAATAATACTAACGTAGCTGGCTGTAGTTTCATCTTTAGGATTTTTCTAAGCTTCATTTAATTGTTATGACTTCATAATAACTATTTTCAATATTCAAACGCATCCTACATGCCTCACAGCAACTAGTCTGATAGGCTGTTTTAGAATTTATGACTGGAAAGTCAAAATAAAAAGTTACTAAAGACAGCCTTTCACTCAAGTATTTCATTTTGCTATTTGTACTGTTATTTAGAAGGTAATGGGCGAATTCACTCACTTCTAACCCTTTCGTGTTAAAGATCTTTCTACAAGTACAGTTCCTAATCTTTTCATACTAGAAGTTTTAGCATACAACTGTTTAGGTAGAGTTAAAGTGTGAAAACTATCAGTATGTATTACTGTGAAGCTTCAGATGACTTCCTGAAATATCCTTTTGTAATCCGAACTAAATGTGTACTTACTTTTGATATTTTACAACTGAATTCTTGCGTTTCAGTGAGATTTTCTGAAAAAATTGACTTTCTAGACTGTATCTCAAACTTCATACACTCTTTAATGATGGCATCCGACTCAGGAATTAATGGTACAGTCGAATTTTTTATTCACAATTAATCTGTTACTTTTCCAACCAAAGTAAAATGGTGATTAGTCGGAAGTTAGAAGGTGAATATATACAGCTTAGAAATGTAATCTACATTATGAAACTACTTACGCCATAGGTATTACTATGTATTACTTCCTAATCTTTCACTTTTGGACATGTTTTAACTATTATTTTAGTCTAAAATTCGTTGTTTGTAAACTATCTAAATGTTGAGAATGGTACAATTTTCTGCATAATAATAATAATAATATTACATGGGTATTTATACGGCTTCATACCACTTGCTTGAAATAATTCTGTGCTTTCCTATTTTCTTCCTCTATAATTTCACCTGCATCTTGGATTGACATTGCTCTGTTAACGTGGTTTTAAAACTGCTACTTAGTCTCATCACCTCACATGTCTGTGTACTAACAAATGTCTATCCATAACAACAACGACTGATCTGTTTATTTCGATTTTGGCCAGGCCTGTCAGTGTAGATTAATTCAAATCTGTACGCTGTGATAAAGTAACCGGTCCTCATCTACTGATGTGATGTATGTATATGAGTATACAATCACTAGCTTTACTGGATCTTTAAGCCAGCAAGAATTAGTCCCACATAAAATTGTAGGTTTAAACACCACTACGATTCCGGCCTTATTAAGAATTCTATATAGGATTTTATTATTGATATAAGAATAGAACCTGTGCACTAAGGTGGAGTATAATTCCATTATGGGTAAAATTTATTTTGATAAAGTCTCAAAGTGTTATACAATAATGTTTACTGATAACCACGTTTCGAGTGCAATTTATTACCGCTCATAATCATTTCAAGGTACTCACTCACACAACTTTCTAGCTTCGTTTATATAATTCCATTATTTTTCATCGCTTGATTTGATTGGTAATAGTATTTTCCATATTTCCGGTATGAGTGAGTGGTCAGTCATTCCTATTGCACGTGGTGTTTTGGGTGTAAACTCGATGAACCAAGCAGGATTCAGTAATCAAACTCTTTTGCTCTCCACCTACCTATCCAATATCCAATATCGTTTTTACGAGCTAGTATAAACCAATTTGATTTCTTTGTGCTCGCTTCTTGATTGTGAGGTATAGGTTCTTGATCTTCGGTAAACTTCTGCGTAGCTTGTCCCGCCACTCGACTGTCGTAGCTTTGGTTGACTCCAAAGGGAGTAGTGATGGGATTAATTATATGTGGTTTGTAGTATGAGGTATAAACCAAAATGTTTTCGAACACATCCACCGGCAATGATGAAATCTTATCCCTAAATGGAGCACCTATTGAAATTGTGCCATCCTTCAGATATCTGGGATCCATAATGCTCCCCAACGGCCAAGCGAAAAACGAAGTGAATGCGCGAATCTCCAACGCCCGGAATGCGTTTCTACAGCTGAGGAGCGTTCTATGGAGCAAGAGAGAAATCAGTCTCAGGACTAAAATTCGGGTCTACCAAGCTTCCATACGACCCGTTCTGCTGTATGGCTGTGAAACCTGGCCTCTTCGCGCGGAAGATTTACGCAGACTCGAGGTATTAGACCATTGGTGTCTCAGGTACATTCTGCATGTTTGTTGGCAGGACAAACTCTCCAACGAAGAAGTGCGTCGGCGTTGCTACAACATCAACCAAATTCCAGTACTGGTCCAACAACGCCGCCTTCGGTGGTTTGGCCATGTTCTGCGCCGACCAGATGACGATCTGGTCAAATCAGTTCTAAATCCCTCGCCATTACCATCTTGGCGATGTCGCAGAGGCGGACAGCTGAAGACATGGCTTGGTACAGTCAAGGCAGATATGGAGTGCCTGGGGCTACAAACCGTCTACGGACTCCGCATGTGGAACAAGAATTGGATATCCCTATCCCAAAACCTTGCTTCAGATCGCCGCGCCTGGGCAGCGATGATTCGAGACGTTCATGAAGCCGGCTCATCCTCCCGTAGGAGATAGCCGAAGTAAAGTAAGTAAGTAAGTAAGTATGAGGTATGTTAAGACTGTTACTACTGTGATTGGAGTTGATCCTTTCGCCAGTTAGTCCTTCAGTATTGTCGACAAGAGAAAAGAGATAGTAATAATAATAATAATAGTAATAATAATAATAATAATAGATATAATTAGTGAAGCTAATCAGACTAAGAGACAGAAACGAAAATAGGAAACGTAACAACAGTCAGCTCATTAAGTTTGAAGAATAATATATATATATCGGTAATAGTAATAATAATAATAATAATAGTGATTATAATGTTAATAAGTTGTCAGGAGAGTAAGACGGGAGAGAATGTAAAGAAGTAAAATGACGAGTTTAATTATCTACCCTGATTGGTAAATGCGATTTTAAGGAGATAGGCCATTTGGATGCAGTCCTTGTATCGCTGCATGGTTGTCCAGCCTTCGCTTAAAGGCGTCCAAAGACGGTGCCATAGCTACATCTGCCGGTAAGGAATTCCAGGGACGACAAACCCGCAGTGAAAAGAAGTGGGAGCGCACCCGGGTCCTTGCCCTCTGGTGAGCTATCCTTCTGGGATTTCCACGTGGAAGCCTATACCTACTCAATGGCAGAACACCTTTGTTTGGGTGATTCTGGTCATTTGTTATTTTGAAGGCAGTAATCAAATCCCCCTCAGCCGACGGTAACTAAGTGTGAACAGGCCTAATTTCTTCAGCCTTTCATCATATGGTTTGTTTCGGAGACCAACCACTCCTTTTGTTGCCCGTCGTTGAACTCTTTCCAAGAGGTTGGCATCTCTTCTCAGCATTGGGGGTGCAATAATATTATGCACCTCAAGGTGTGGCCTGACGTATGTTTTGTACAACATTAGAAAGAGCTTAGGAGTGAGTGCACCTAATTGTCTATGCGTAAAGTGTATGACCGCATATGCCCTCGCTACATCCCCTGTGTAATTTACGCTTGTGTCCATTTTTTCCGTTAGAACTAGACCTAAGTCGCGTTCCGACGTTGTGCAGGACAAGCTTTCATTGCACAGGGTGTAACTTGCATTCTGTAGTCTACAGGTGCGCAACTTCACTACTTTGCACTTTTTCAAGTTGAAAGTCATGCCACTGGCCACCGCCCAGTCTTCCAGAAGGTTTAGGTCTTCCTGTAGCCTATCTGAGTCCTCCGGACACTTTATCGCCCTCCATATTTTTACGTCGTCAGCGTACAGGAGAGTCGGGCAGCTCAGACGGCTTGGTAGATCATTGATGAAAATCAAAAACATCAGTGGTCCTAGGATAGAACCCTGCGACACTCCTGATGACGATCTCTGCCAAGATGATCGGACTCGGTATAGCCAGGATACTGACAAAATGAGGCAGAGTCTTCCGAACACCTTGAGCTGAAGGCAAATGTAGGATGATGTTACAGGACTGGACTACATTGCCTCCTAGTTCAGAAATAGGAAATGAAGTGGTAGAGCACGTTGATCGCTTCACTTATTTGGGAAGTTGCATCAGCCAGTGCCAACGGATTGATCGCTGACGAAATCTCAGCTGAGTACGGATACAGAGGGTTAGTTTCGCATATGACATTTTACGCCGTCTCTGGCGTAGACGTGATATCCGGTTGGCTGTCGACCAAAGGATGTGTGTACTGCTCATCAGTCCGCTCCCTCCTCCTTTATGGCTGGCTGTGAGACCTGGCCATTGAGAGCGGAAGGCATGAAAAGATTAGCTGTCTTTGATCATAGGTGCCTGCGTTCTATCTCCCGTGTGAAGTGGTGTAATAGGTTAAGCAATATTGAGGTTAGATTTCAGTCGAGTGCTAGGTAAACAGGGGAAATCAATCGACAACGCTTTGAAATTACATCGACTGAGATGGTTAGGACATGTGTTACGTATGCCTAGTCATCGCCTTCCTCGACGGGCAACGTTAGCTGACAGAGGATTGGTCAGGCTGGAAAAGAGCTAGCTAATGGCGGTCAAACCAAAACATGGCACCAGTCAACGAAATCCACAACAGTTACTTTAAGCCAGCAACATAGGAAGGTGTAGACTGCTGTCTGGTTGGGGTCATCGG